GTCTAATGATATAGTATCATTACTGATATTGTAGCTGCTGTTGTCTAATGACCTAGTATCATTACTGATATTGTAACTTAACTTTTGTGATATTCTATACATTCAGCCTAATGATGTTTGGTAAACCTTACTTGTAAACCTGTCAGTAAAAATAAGTTCATTTATCCAAGTTTCTAGTATTATTGTGTCGAAGAAAAGGTGTCGTTCCCTATTACATGTATCTATTAATATTCTGTGATTGGTCACTCTTATCTTCTTGACTTCTGGTAATAAATATTGTTATTTGTCTATTATTGCAATTGAAGTTGCAGATCATGTGTACATTGAAAGAAACGACACTAAATATATTTTTTATGTAGACTGAAACATTATTGATATTGTTAGTTGCTTTTAGGACTGTGTTCAAAGGTTCATTTGCTAGCAAATACAAATATCTATTAACATTCTGTAATTGGTCACTCTTATCTACATATATCTATTAACATTCTTTGATTGGTCACTCTTATCTTCAAAGTTTCAGTTGCTACAAAGAACTTAGATAGCTCTAAACATTCACAGTTTTGTAAGTTGGTATTGAAGCATTGTTAGTTCTCTCTCGTTAAGAGAAACTGTTTGAATAAAAATTGTAACACACACGTGTGTGTGTGTGCGTGTATATATATGGAAAATCGAGTCATATTTTTCATATAATGCCTATTACTTAAACACAAGTTATTGTATTAAAAATATAAAATACCACTAGAGAAGTAATGTACCTATCAGATCCTTCTTGTATTGGAGCAAACCATTATGGTGAAACACTTGGGGTTCAGTTAGCAGCTGTGTTACTTCAGTGTACTGTATTCCTAGTGTTTAAGATGAAAGAGAATCAGTATGGTATAACAAGCATGCCAACACTAATTATTTTAATATTGAAAAAGGAGTACCAGTATAACTCGACCTAACCCTTGCCCTCCTATAGGTGTTAAAGACAAATGTGACTGATAATAACACACTTTCATATAATGTACAAATGTATAATTTGAAAGATGCTGGAAATTGTATGCAATATGTTATGAATGGTAGATACAAAAATATTTTAATGTTAGGTTTAATTCTTGGATGATGTATGTATATAATCTATGAATTGTAGCTTTAAATAAGGTTTTTAATTTACTTTTCTTTACAAAGTCTATCAAGAATATTGTTATTGTGCATTTGTAAGAAGTTAATGTTTAGGTAAGATATTTTGTATGTTGTTTAAGTTCTCACAAAATTGTTATATTCACAGAGATTGTTCAACTTGCAACATTCTTTGTTTGGGAAATTATGCCAAATCTTTCAACTTCCCTGCAAAAGGAAATCAGGTAATTTTTCTTTGCTGAGATTATTTAGTTACAGTGTATGTTTATTTTCATTGTTATGCATTATTTTTTTTACGTAATTATAATCTGTTAAAATTACAACTAAAACAAAACCTAATTTAAGATAATTCTTCTCAGTTAAGTTATTTAGTACAAGGTCAACCTCCTTGATTTTATTACTAGAAGATGAGTTATTAACACCTTTTTTCTTTGTAGGTTGAAGTCACCAAATGGTTATCCAGCAAACACAACATGGGAATGGTGATTAATCGTCCCCTCTGGACACAAATTAAAATGTGTGCTAAAGTTAGTGCTTTTCTGTATACAGTATCTATTAACTTGTTTGTATTGAACTTTACATAGTTAACTCTTAACTTACTAGCATAAGATTTTTTTAGGTATAGCTATTCTAATTACAGAAAATACTTTTTACCTTGTATCCGTGTGGTTCTAATTTTTCAGACATCTTCCACATAGTCAGAAAGGGGCCTGACGTGGCCTAGTGGTTAAAGTGCTTAACTTTCAATCTGTGAGTTTTGACCTCCAGCACCAAACATATTAACTCTTTCAGTTTTGGGGGTGTTATAATGTGATGGTCAAACCCACTATTTTACCTGTTGATAAAAGAGTAGCCCAAGAGCTTGTGATGCTGGTTAGCTGCCTTCCCTCCAGGGATGACATGTAGCTTTACATGAAATTCAAAACAAACCATAGTCAGAAGGTCCAGGGTTCAAGCCATGACATTTCTCTCATCTTGCTCTCTGCTTTTAGATGTGGAATGTGATATCCATGACAGCCAAACCCAATATTCTGTTCCTAGTTGATCCATAGATAGTGAGCACTACTGACCAATTGTCCTCCATCTGGTTAGTAGTTTAAAATTAGAATGCCTATCTTATTCAAACTTAAGGGAGTCTGACCTAGCTGTTTAGTCCATGTGTCAAGTAAGGGGCCTTTCAGGTTAAAAATCCCAAATCCTCCCAAACAACTTGTATCACCTTATCTGCTTAAGATAACATTAGTTGTTCACACATGATGTGTGGAATCCATGAAGAATTGGCTAGAATCCTGTTTTCTGGTAACATTTAATACGGAATACCTAGAAATAAAAGGATTGGTAGTTCAAAATATGGCATAAGAATATGACATCCTTGGAATCACATTCTGTTAAATTTTTTATTGCCAGGCAACTCCCAGTTTGTTGGCATCTTACGTCTGAAAATAAGGATGAAAGGGTTTTCAAATACCTTAGTTGTGATGATTGTCCTCGGGTGGGATGTTTCAACTCGATCACATTTATTCTGGGATATTTTCTTGAATTTATTCAAAAGATGTGAAATTTTGTACAAGATGAGGTGAATGTAGTTTGATTAGTGAATGTCCCAGTTCATGTTTCTGAAAAACTGTGATATGGTGAATATTTAAAGACTCGTGTTTATGAAGAAGTCTGCATTTGTTGCTAATAAAAATAGACTTGGATACTGCTTACATATATAAAAATGTAACTTAACATATTATTAAACAGCTCTGACACTTCAAACATGATGATATATTTTTCAGATATCTCTTGCAATGATTCAAAGTGTGTTGTAAACATTGATAAATAATCGTCATAGAGAATAGGTGGGTACAAAGAATGAACCTAACCAACCACTATCACACACATACTTTGATATGAATTTTAGCTTAATTTGATTGGTTAAAACTACATAACGTGCAAAATATATATGGTGTAATGCAGCACACAGTACGAGTACCCCTACACGGCATGTTTCATTAGACTTTATGCTTTTAATGTGTGTGTGTGTTATGTACTGATTACAGAAAATGGGGAAAATAACATAAGTTAGCACTTGTGCTTTGTTGTGAAAAGGGTAGATTCAAAAAGTTGATTTTTATTATGAATACCTACCAAGTTATTGAGTGAAACCTGTCTCTTAGCCTCGCTTGATAGTTGTATCGTACAGTAGAATTTTAAAGGCTGTTATGTTGTGAATAAAAAAAACTAAACATCACAATGACAGTTTAATTTTTATCGTTAATAAATATGTACGTATAGTCATGCAAGACTCTGAGATAATTTATATCCCTCTTAATTAAAAAAAGTTTCTGAATGTTAAAAACTTAATATATTGAGTGACTTTAAAGACCTGTGGAGGCTCTAACTGCAGAATCGACAATTTCACAAGTTTAAGAAAGAAAGATGTTCATAAAATATTTGTTAAATTTTTAGAATTTATACACTAAAGAGTTAACAATTAACTGTAAAATCTGAACATTGTAGGTATGATGGAATAATTCTAAACAGTTAGGAAATAAATGTTTTTATTCCCAAGTGAATGAATATAGTAAGCCTAGAAAGATAAGTTTGTTTTCACATGTTGTATAATTTTCAAAGTAAAAACAAATGATTTATAATTTAATATACACATCTATATATTGAGCAAAAACAGAAGTTTCCTCTTCTAAGGTAATTAGTATAAAAATGTGAACATTATTATTTTTATTATATGTTTTGATATAATGGTTAGAAAAAACCTTTATATTCCAGAGAATTAAAAAATAATTTTATTTTAACCAACGTTTTGCCTTTGCGGGTTCTTCGGGTTTAGTAAAACAACAAAAAATTATTATAAATCACTTAATGAAATAGTAGCTGCATTGAAAAACAATTGCAACACAATATAATCATAAATATGATACAAAATACCTACAAACTATTAGTGTTAAAGCATCCCTTTGAAAAAATTAATATATAAAATTTTTTAAATCCATCAATTTTAATAAACCTGAGCATTGAACATTTTCTTATGTTGATTTTGTTGTCGTGGTAACACATCACAGATTTCAAAAGTGTGGATATGAAGTGAGAAATGAGGGAGTCGGAGAATATTAACTATTGACAACATAACGTTAGTTAAGGTCAGCCATTTTGAAAAGATCTAATGCAAATTGTTGGTTTTATTTTCACCTACTAACTAACCCTTTCAAGATGGGTCACAAGGGAAAGACCATATCATTTTATTGAACTACTATTTCATAAATTTATGTCAATAAGTTTGGTATCAAACTGTAGATTATAATTCAAATTTTAGTATTGTACCTTACTCACTTCTTAATTTAAAAGTAAATATTAAAAAAACAGTTAAAAATTGATTTGTGTATGTCAAGTGGTATGTTGAATGCAGCACTGGTTCAAATTAGATGTTTGTGAAGTCAAAATACTAAGTGTATAGTTTCATATGAATCAGAAATTCAAGTTACAGATATTGACAAGCTAGAATATAAAATAAGAAGGTCTTATCTTTTCTGTTTTTTAAGATATTGCTCACGTAATAAATCAAACATAATGGCACCCCACTAACCTCCTTCCATTTTTGGAAACGCTCCCTTCTACACACTTACTTCTATATATGACATGAATAACCAATCAGAAGCTCAGAATGTCCCCTAGTGGTTTTCTCAGCCTTTCTAATGTACCTAGTGCAGTTTCTTTCTTTTAAACCAAGATTTCAATGAGGTATGTTGTCTTTAGTCTGCTCGAAATTTCATATATATTTTATAGATCCAAATACAGCCTAGTTACTAAGTTTGATAAATTATAGTAGAATTCTATGGTAGTGATGAAGTAATTTATGATTTTTTGATTATTCAACTGTATATATAAGACCAAAAAAAAATATTTAGTTTCATATCCTCCACATGCAATATTTGTGAAGACTTAGCAACCTACGTCACGCAGCAACCGAGTACAAAGGTCATAACTAGAAGAGATAATTGTTTGCTTTACTTCTTTATTTGCTGTTCTGTGTTTTAGGAAAAATAACTTTGAGAACTGATTTCTAAACAGCAATAATCTATATACATATATAAAGTATTATAATTGAAATGTGACTGTATTTTACAAAATACTTGTACAAAACACAGCCAAGACAAGTTACTTTGTACAGACCAAAGGTCATCTTTAT